GCTCCGCCGCGAGCAGATCAAGATGATCAGCGAGATCGGCTTCAGCGGCCTCGCGGCGTCGTTCGTCAACTACAGTGCTGAGCTTCCGCTGTTCCGGGACGAGGTGCTGCCGCGGCTGAAGAAAATGGACCTGCGCGCCTGAGCGGATCGCGCCCGACCGCGCAGGAGTGCGTCTGTCGCGCTGGATTGAATACGCAGATGCTGGCGTGGACGAGAGGACACAACTTTCCGCTCTCATGCTTGGAGATCGTTCGCGAAGTCGCCTGGCGCGGGATCGCGGCCGCGTGCTCTCCGCGCGGCTGACCCGCGCGCTGAGGATCCTCGAGCAGCTCGTCGCCGTGATCGCGGCAGGAGACAGAGAGAGAGAGAGAGAGAGAGAGAGAGAGAGAGAGAGAGAGAGAGAGAGAGAGAGAGATGAGCGATACAAGTTTGGTTGTCACTTACCTATGAAGCGAGCTGTGCAGTCCCACGAAGGAGGAAGGAAGCGGCCATAGCCGCGGAGCATCATCACGGAGTAACGAAGGAGGACAGAGGAGGGATCGAGGAGAGAGATAGAGGAAGAAGTGTGGAAGGAGGGACATCGGAGAAGAAGACAGACATAGTCGAGGGTGACAAAAAAAAAAAAAAAAAAAAAAGAGAAATAGAAAGGAAGAAGAAGGTGAAGGAGGGGGAGAAGGAGACAAGGGTGGCGAAGAGGAAGGTGCCGACAGCCATAGCCGAGGCGGAGAGTTGACTGGAAGGTTGATCGGACGTTGATCGAAAGGTTGACTGAGGTCTTACCGCATTGACCAAGCGTTGACCAAGGAGTTGATCGGCGCCGTTGACCAAGACTTTGACCAAGTTGGAGTTGGTAACATCTCGCCAAGCCCTTAGCCTATCCCCTCACCCTGTGGATGTGCACTCTCCCTACGGTACTTGCTGAGTCGGAGTCTGTTTGTCTCTCCTTTCAGCATTGAGTCTCTTCTGTCCTAGGTGATAGTACTCTGTGGATGAAAGATAGGCCTGGTTGACCACTCCCCTACCGGATCTAGTAGGGCTGAGACTGTGGTAGATCCAACTGTCCTGGGGGGCATAACCCTCCCAAAGGTCGGTGCTGACCGGCTGGACACGGTTGGTATGGCACGGTGGGCCTGAAAGACTGAGTTGTGGGCTGAAACAACAGGCAGTCTAAGTGTTGAGGGCCTTGTTGACCCGAACCCCTGTCAGACTAAGTAAGGCTAAAGACTGTGTCTGACGACTCGACTGTCCCGGGGATACGAACCCTCCCAAGGACCGGTACAGACCGGCGGGCTGCTCGGTGTGGCACGGTAGGCTTGAAAAGCTGAGTAGTGGGCAGTGCGACAGGTAAGAACTAAGCTGATCACGCCGTCCTGTCTGCGACGTTAAAGAATTCTTGAGGAGTTGGGGGGATCTCCTTAAAAGGCCTCCAGATCAGCCACTGGTTCAGTAGTGACAGCCTTAGAGTAGGTCTAGGCTAGTGACCATAGCTGAGAGGGTTCTACCCTGTGGTCCGTAGAGAGTCTGTCAGTGAGTTTGCGGGTTGGTCTAAGTGGTGAGGAGTGGGACTGTCCTGTCGTGCACCTATCACCATGGATGACTACCCCATGTATGGTTTACTCGTTGGGTTCTCCCTTTGGGGGACCCTTTGGCGTTTCATGTTTCCGGTGGGATTCTGGAACACGTTTTCGTGTAGGGTAGAGACCAAGGGTGGTACGACCACACACCCCTACACACCTGAAGAAGAGGCCAAGGCCACCGCAATCCTGAAGGAGAGGAGAGAGGAGGCCAAGAAGAAGGCCTTGTTGGAGGCGCAGGCGGCGAAATTGAAGAAGATTGAGGGGGAGATGGCCAGAGAGAAGGAGAGGTTGAAGAAAGAAGAAGAAGCGAAGTTAAAAGAGGTGGAAGAGGAGGAGGAGGAAGACGAGCAGCCGTTGGAAAGGAGGACAGAGCAACAAGGGCAGTACAGTGGGAGTAAAAATGATGAAATGGAAAAAAGGATTTCAGAATGGGTTGCCAACTTGTCTTTGGGAGAAGAGGAGGTTGCCATGTATATCCCCAAGGATGAGCAGGAGACCGCCATGAAAGAATGGGATGCAGAGGAAGATTCCCTGAAGCGGCAAGCGATGGAGGATGAGAAAAAGATGGAGTGGAGGCTCAGGATGATGAGGGAAAAGAAGAGGAGAGTGGATGCGGCAAGTGAGGCGGCCAAAGAATTAGAGCAGGTGAAGAACCTAAAAGAACAGTTGACCGCCCAGGTGGATCTCCAACGAAAGGTGGAGGTCATTGCCCAGAGTGTTGATCGCTTGGCCCGGGTACAGGGAGAACAATATGAGTTTAGTAGAAGTCAGGATATGGTCGTGCGCTCGATGTGGATGGGATTTCGGGATTTTGCCCGCGAACTGGTAGGTGCAGTAGGGTCCGAGGTGAACCATCGCCTCGAGAAGACAGAACGATTTTGCGTGGGCGCCATTGAAGGTGTCAAGCTGACAGCTCCTAAGGAGGAAGAGGCACGTCCTCGCAGGGAGCCAATCAAAGTCAAGTTCCCGGATTCCTACAGTCGAAAGAGGGAAGAGACTTTGACAATTGGGAGGCCAACGTCAAGACCTATGTGCATTTGCAACAGGTCTCCCCGGATCAGCACGTGCTAATTGCAATTCATGCGCTTAGAGATGAGGCTGCCAGCTTCGCGAGATCCCTAGTCCGCTCTGCTAATTGCAATGATGATGCGGTTGCCTACTCGTCGTTCACCCCCCTTGTCAATTTCATGAAATTGCTGCGCGAGCGATTTGCTGATGTCGCTCGTAGTGTCAAGGCCTCAGATAGGCTTCAGACAATCCACTCTCGTAAATGGAAGAGTGTCAGGGCACTCAAGGGCACAATGGACGAATTAGTGGTTGTACCTGACCACGGGTCAAAGCCCAGTGGGTCAGCCTCGTCTATCGGGCTATGCCCCAAGCCTTGCGAGGGCATTTCTTCGCGAAGAGTGAAGACCATGCCACCACTTATGATTCCCTTAGCCGCGAAGTGGTGGCTTTTGAGGCAAAGTCGGTGTCAGCTTCCACTTTCTAGCACAAAGACTTAGACAAAGGAAAGCAATGGAAAGGTCGCACTATCTCAGGGCAAGTTAAAACTAAGGATAGTCTTGTCCTCACTCTAAATGAAGGTAGTGTTGACGAGATCCCCTACGAGTAGATTGAGTGGGGGTTAGAGGACAAAGACAGTGGCGCGAGTCAAGGGAGGACTTACGCTGCTGTCGCGGCTGGAGGGAGGCCGCAAGGAGGAGGACGAGGCTAGGGCCAAGGGGGCAGGGCCTCAGGGAACCGTTCTCAGGGCGATAAAGGGGTTGGCGGCAGAGGAGGAAATCGCCAAGCAGGAGGAAGGGGCCAAAAGGCAGCCGCCGGTAGGGGTAGCAACTGCCCCTACCATAAGGCCATGTGTGGAAAGCAGCGCTAGCCGGCAGGAGACTCCCACACCACATGTGCCTATGGCAGAGGTTGCAGGCCGGTGTCTAGATGGCTGTCCAGAGACTGCTGGTGTTAGAGTCTCTCTAGACACCTCCTTCACAGGTGTGGCTGAAGAATTGAAGGAGAGGATGCTCGCCTGGGCCAAGATGAAAAAGGAGAATAAGGGGCAGCTTATATTAGTAGACACAAAGATTTTTAGAGGCCGAGTTGGCGCCTTAGTGGATAGTGGAGCCACTCGTAGTTTTATTAGTAGGAAGGCTCTACAGAAGCTGAAGTTGCAACTAAAAGTCCAAAGATTAGCGGACCCCATCGTGAGTATCCTCGCGGACAATCACACCATGAGAGTAGAAGAGTATGTAGAGGGAGTCCAGGCGTATTTCCGCCTAGAAAAGGATGGGAAAGTGGAGAAAGTTCTCCATTCCCTGACTCTCCTCGTAGAGGATAGCCCCCCGTTTGACATAGTCCTAGGTATGGACTGGGGAGAGGCAGCAGAGGCCACACTCCATCTAGACGTTCCATGATCCCTCCCGACATGGATGGGAGATACGACATTGACAGCATTGTAGGTGAAGACGTGCTTAGAACAGGAGGTCGAGGTCGTCCTCAAAAACAGTATAAAGTCAGATTTGCATATCAGGAACCAGAAGATGACCGGTGGTTCACTAGAACTAAACTTCTAGAAACAGCTCCCGATATAGTCAAGGCCTACGAAAGGGACAGAAAAGGTTAAGGTCCTGCCTTGGACTGAAATATTCTCGGAGGACCTCGAATTTTGGCCAGCGGGAGTGAAACGGTCTTCACCAGTTCGCAGTAGCTGATGCAGATCCCAGGGCTCGATCCCTAGTCCCCACCTTACCTGTGTACAGTACCTGTGTCAACCCGTAGAGTTGAACCCACGACCTGTAGGACTGCCAGTGGTAGGTAGGTCGTCGTAGGTTACAGGGTATAGGGGATTCGAACTGTTGACCTGTCGGGTAGGAGTCTAGAGAGTCCAGAGGTCTTAGCTGTAGACTTTCCGGACGGTCAAAGTCGTAGCTGCTACTTACCTGAAAGGGCAGAGTCGTAGCTGCTACAGTACCGAAAGGCCAAGTAGATGTTTCTGGAAGTGGCCTTTCGGAGTCAGCGCACTGTAGGTCAAGGCAAGTGGGCAAGTGGTGGAAGTCCACCGTGCAGTATCAGCAGTCCCAGTCCAGTCACTCCAGCCCAGTCCAGTCAAGCAAGTACCGTCTGGGACTGTGTACACCGTGGGCCAAGGAAACAGGGCAGACCAACGAGTCACAAACGTGTAAATCAAGAGGCCGCGCACAGCTATTCATTCATTCCTGTGGAAGCCATGCGGAGGCGCTGTCTCAGCGGCTTGTGCGAGGAGGTCTGCAGTGTGCCCGAAGTCGAAGTGGGCCAGGAGAGCTTAGCATAGCGATAGCGTAGAGGCAGTCACGGCTGCAATAGCTGTAGCTGGTGTGTGTGTGTGATGTGTGGGTGTTCAGAGTGATGCGTGTGGGATATCCAGGGTGATCCGGTGTGTGAACAGTGAGTTGTTGGGCGNTCGTAGCTGCTACTTACCTGAAAGGGCAGAGTCGTAGCTGCTACAGTACCGAAAGGCCAAGTAGATGTTTCTGGAAGTGGCCTTTCGGAGTCAGCGCACTGTAGGTCAAGGCAAGTGGGCAAGTGGTGGAAGTCCACCGTGCAGAGTCAGCAGTCCCAGTCCAGTCAGTCCAGCCCAGTCAAGCAAGTACTGTCTGGGACTGTGTACACCGTGGGCCAGGGAAAAAGGGCAGACCAACGAGTCACAGAAGTATAAATCAAGAGGCCGCGCTCAGCTATTCATTCATTCCTGCGGAAGCCATGCGGAAGCGCTGTCTCAGCGGCTTGTGGGAGGAGGTCTGCAGTGTGCCCGAAGTCGAAGTGGGCCAGGAGAGCTTAGCATAGCGATAGCGTAGAGGCAGTCACGGCTGCCATAGCTGTAGCTGGTGTGTGTGTGTGATGTGTGGGTGTTCAGAGTGATGCGTGTGGGATATCCAGGGTGATCCGGTGTGTGAACAGTGAGTTGTTGGGCGTTGAGTCGCCATAGCCAGTGGAAGCGAACTCTTATCTGGACACCATATCTCTGAGTTCTGTGTGTGCGCTGTCGCCAGTTTGCTGTGCTGCTGTTTACACGCGTGAAAAGTGTGAATGAGACGAGTCTGATTGCAATAGGCTGGTTCGATCCAAATCCTTCAGATATTCATGCTGACAAGAAACACACATTTCAAACAGTGCAGAACACCAAAGAATTCGAATAACCCTGAAGAAGAAACTGATGCATGTGAAGGCAGCGTTCTGGGCCAAGGCCGCATAATGGTTCCTGTGAGACTTAATCTACGGTGCTACATCCCTGATTATTTTTAAGATTTTTTTGTCGCTGGAAGTGAGAATTAAAATCGCCAAAATTTGGGTACTTGGAATTTTGCCCACCTCCCCTGTACTCACCTTGGACCTGGCCTTCGTTTCCATGGCTGGTATACAAGCGCGTTCTTCGGGGTATCAGTTCCTTCTTCTCAATCCTGTCGCTACCTTTTTCTCACCATTCTCAATCCTGCCGCTACCTTATTCTTCCTGACTGCTCTCCTCACCTGTGTTTGTTATCCTTGATGCGTGTTTCAGTGAGGTGACATGGAGACGGAAAAGTGTGCAACAACAGATGCAGGCAGGTGTCGATTTCGACGAGGATGTGAAGAGGCTGGTTATGGACCTTCAAGAGACAGAGAAGCGGTTGGACATAGAGTTGCTCGAGGCACGTGATCGAGCCCAGAAAGAAAAAGCCGCGTTGATCGAAAAGTACTCCAAGAGATTGGAGGAAGTGGAACAAGCTGAGCATGAGATGAGGCAGAGAGAAATGAATCGAAACGGGAAGCCGGAGGTAACGAGTGAGAACGGACAGCACCAGGAAAGGAGCCAGGAGTGGATAGCGGCGGAGGACGTATCAGTGAGAGGCAAGGACATCCCAAAAGACATGCAGTGGGCACAAGCGTCTAGGCAGCACTGTCGATCTTCAAAGGGCTGCGAGTCCCACATTGACGATGAGGATGGGCTCTCCTCGAACGAATTGTCTGCACTGGTGACTGGAATGGCAGCAGCAAGTTTGGTTGACGCCGAACAGCTTTTTGTGGACAAGTGGGGTTTGTGTGGCAGTGCAGCCAAAAAAACACTGACAGTGAAGGGCGGAAAAAGCAGTGACGAGGACGCTACCAAGAATGCAAGTAGCTGTGGTGGCAATTCTGCAGCTGAAGAGAATCATGGGAAGAGTTCTCCAAGATGGTATGAATGGGGGGATGGAGAAAGTGACGACTCCGGTGGAGAGGGCAGATCTGGTCAGGAGGAGGATTCAGAGGAACATGGTTGGGAAGTCGCAACATCAAAAGGCAAAGGTAAAGCCAGGAGGAGCTAATTGCCGGTTTAGATGAAACTGTGATTTTCACAGCCTGTTTTCTTTTTTTTTCTTTTTTTTGTCACAGCTTGTTGTATCTGTTTGTACGCAGGAGATGCGGTTGCTGGCAGCAAGAGTTGGTGTCCGTACTCCTATCATGTGTTCCTGAGCTTTCAGAGGCGGTGGTGCACGGCTTGCAGAATGAGCATTTTGGTAACTTACCTCCTTGCAAAACTGCAGTGTCATGGCCACCTTCTTTGCCGCCACAGCCCCTGCTTTCTCCGTGCCCTGGTTAACAACTGCGTATCACAGATCCTACCGGTCTCCTTGCTGCCCTTTGAGAATGAACCTTGAATCAGGCTCTTCGATTGGTCAGACGGACCATGTTCATATCTCAGTCAAGGATGGTGTGAAAGTGTGCAACATCACTCTCGATGAGGTCATGACTGAAACCAGTATGTGAAAGTCAAAGAGCGGCAAAAGCTGCAGAAGGGAGAGGAACCCCATACTGGAAGTACAAGAATGACCCTTTATTCAGGATGCCCTTTCTCAGGGCTCTGAGGATTGTGTGAGCAGGGAAACAAAGAGTACGCCTGGTGAGACACCTGACTGATGGAAGTAGAGTTGCCTGGAAGACTTCAGAGTCTTGCAATGATATGATCGTTAGTCTTAATCACCTGGATGGTGAGTATGGCTCATGTGCAGGGGAGGGGGGGGGAGCACAGCGACCTGTGACTCGGCATCGTAATAATTTCCTAGAGGAGGAATGGTTCATGACATTGTGTGAGAATGATGATGGTATTCACAGATGAACCGGCAAGAATGCTGAGAGGAGAGCCCTTGTGTAAGCGAGCTATGGATCTCGTTGGAGGGGGGGCGCGCAGCACGGTGAACTGCGACTCGACATTGTAATAATTTTCTAAAAGAGGAATGGTTCATGAGATTGTGCGAGAATGATGATGGTATTCAGAGATGAAGTGGCAAGAATGCTGAGAGGAGAGCCCTTGTATAAACGAGTTATGGATCTGGTAGCTATGTGAACAAGGATGCTCACTGGGAAAACCATGAAATTTTCCACAGTTTCGAAAATTTGCAGTTTGCATTCGCCATCCTTGGGCAAGGACCAGTGCTAGTCTATCTACCCTGTCTGGTTGCAGCACTTTGAAGTTTTGGATGGATGGGATGCAGAGAAGTTAAGCATGGCCCACGGGCACAGATGCAGATGACGTATTCACAGGTCAACCACTGGCCGCCCTGGTATGTAGATGGTTACCAAGGCCTCTGACAGCCACGTCATGAATGATGGCCTTTATTGTTCTCTTCGGGCACACTCGCACCAGGACTTTCTGATATGCAACTGGCCGTATTTCGAACCAGATTCTTTCCAAAACGTCCGCAAGTGTATGGCCTTTCTATCAAGTGAAGACCGACTGCGTCTCAGATTTGGATCTTGCCATATTTCCAACCTGCCATATTTGCAACCAGATTCTGTCGAAAATGTCTGCACGTGTATGGCCTTTGTATCAAGTGAAGACTGCATCTGTCGCATATCTAATGCTCATGGAAGTGGAACCACCCAGGTGCCGGTCGTCATGTGAATGCAGTCGTGTGTCTTAGCAAGGATGACAGTCAAGGAAATAGGTAGCGACTTGATGCGAGTTCATCTGGATATTGGTGTCATGCGATAAAGCTAGAGGTAATAGGTAGCGGCACAAGTTCATATCGGACTAAACGATCAGTCCTCAGCACTTCGAAAAATCGGACGATCGGTAGCAGCTGGCAGCAGAAACTTTTTCGAAGTATCGGTGGCAGCTGCGAGCAAAATCTGTGCAGCTTTTGCGAGCGGAATTTTTTTGTTCTCTCCTGGTATCTTTCCCGGAAAATCAGCAGCAAATCTATGCCGCTGATTTCTTTCAGTTTTGGCGTGCAATTCTGAGTGTGAGAATTTGCCACAAAAAAAAGGTGGAAATTCAAAATTTGTAAATTTGTCAAAGTCGGGAGCTTTTGCCAGCAGAAGATCAACAGCAAATCTGCACTCGTGATCCCCTGTTTTTTCGAGAAGTTTTGGCATGCAATTCTGAGTGCGAGAATTTGCCAAAGTCGGCACACTCAAAATTTTCCTCACTGTGGGCCCCTCTACAGCCGGTAGGAAGACCTTCCTGGTCCCTCTCTGTCTCCCACCGCATGGACCTGAAGGTACATTTTCCATGTAGCATGGGGCTGGTGGATTGAGAGGTCGAGAAGCTTTCTCATGGAATTAGAGCCACTGGCAGTCAATCCTCCCTGGCTGTCGTATGCAACGAGGAAGGGAAATGACAATCAATGGCAGGGTGTGTTTTTGGGTGAAGCAGCTATCTGATGGAATTGAAGCCACCGGCAGTTAATCCTCCCTGGCTGCGTTACGTTTGAGGAAGAGGAAATGACAATCGATGGAAGTGTGTGTTTTTGGGACAAGCGCCAGGATTCAGGTACCAGACGAATAACCCTCTGCACGTCTTGAGGATGCGAATAGTCAGGAAGAGGATTGCAGTGAAGTGGAAGAGGAGACAAGGAGAGGGAAAGAATGGGAGGGAAACTAGAGTGGGCAGGATTCTGTAGGACGGCGAAAAAGAAAAAAAAGAAGAGTGGACTCGGTGGACAGGGAAGGGTTAAGGATGAAATTGGGCGTTTCCATAACATTTTAAGGATCACCCCCCCCCAAAAAAAAGAAGGAATGACATTGTGGATGGACAAGCGGAGGTCCCGGTGTCTCGGCGAAACAACCCTCCGTAGCTCTCGAGGATGGAAGAGAGGGGATTGAAAAAAGGAAAAAAAGAAAAAGGGGAGGGATGGGAGAGAGGAAATCAAGTGATCTGCGGATAACAGAAAGAGGGGGATTGGAGTGAAATGGAAGACGAGACGAGGGAGGGGGAAGAAAGTTGGAGGGACGCTGGACCCGCTTTCCAGCAGGTGTTACTCCCCACCAATAGATTGGAGTCACAAGCTGAGTTGCTAGGAGTGGGTGCTCTTGTCACCACTCCTAGCAGGCTCTGCGCATGTTTAAAAAAAGGAGGAGGATGGTAGGGAACTCGAGTTGCCCAGGACAAGGCGTAACAATGAAGGGATGGTAAAAGGCAGCGAATGAAGAATATCTAGTGCCGCCAACAGGAAGGAAGGAAGGAAGGAAGAATATTCTGTGGCGGCAACAGGAAGGAATGAAGTGAGAGGCAAGGAAGTGACCTGGTCGGAAGCAGAGAAGCGGATGATCTCACAAGGGTATTTACAGTAGGCCGAGGATGTGGATCTCAAATCTCGTATGAGAGGACAGGGAGGGGTCGACGGATGCAGCCAAGGAGGGTAGATGCAGGCTGGCTGCGCAGCAGTTGAGGCAAGCCGTATGCAATGTGTTTCGCATGTTCTCTTCTCTTTTGCAGTTTCTAAGGTTGTACTTAAGGTTGTACTCCCACTAGGACTTTTTTGACTCTGCTGTGGACAGAATTGCAGTCAGATTCTGCAACAGTTGACCGTAATTGCAGCCGGTTACGTCTAGGAAAGTTCCTGTGCGAATATCCCCAAAGTCTTGCTTTCTATTCATCCCTATTATGGAGAGAGAGGAAGGAAGAGGGATGGAGCCAAAGGAGGGGTCAAGGAAAGTGGAGGGAGATAAAATGGGAGGGGGAAGGGAGGGAGTGAGAGTGACTGTGCAGCAGTGGAGGCAACGCGTATGCAATGGTGTGTTGGGCATGTTTTTATTTTTTACTTTATTTTTTTTCGATTTATGTGTGTCATCCTTGTGCAGGGGCCATGCTAATCATCTGTGTGTTCCTTATCGAATTCCATTCTACTCATCCAAATTGGTGAGCTCGAGAGTGAGAAAGGTTGAGGGATGGAGGCAAGGAGGGGTCGAGGGAGGTAGAGGGAGGTGAAATGGGAGATCAAGGGGGGATGGACGGGCGGAGGGACAGGAGGAGGGAGCAGTGGATGGATCGATGGATAGACAGAGGACAAAATGGTACAGCTGACTTTTTACGAAGGGGGAAGGGTCTATGTAGGGAGGGGTAGGAAGAATGCTGGAGAAAAGGATGGAGAAATGGAGGGAGGGAGGGAGGTAGGAAGAAGGTGGGAAGCGAGTGAACGATAAAGGGAGGGAGGGAGGGATGTACAAGTGAGACATTCATTCATACTGGGAATAGCCACCATTGCGTGTGGATAGTAGCGATATGCAACTGCTAAACCATATGTAGGGAGGGATAGGAGGAATGCTGAAGAAAAGGATGGAGAAATGGAGGGAGGGAGGGAGGGAGGGAGGGAGGAAGAAGGCAGGAAGTGAGTGAACGATAGAGGGAGGGAGGGAGTGAGGGAGGGAGGGAGGGGAGGGGAGGGGATGTACAAGTTACCTTTATTCACACTGGGGATAGGCCCCATTGCATGTGGAAAGTTGCGATCTGCAGCTGTTAAACCACCAGTACATCCGAGCGTCTTTTTACCGACAGGACGGATTCCCCCTGCGGACCAAGGTTTGCCGAAATGCCAGTGAGGCCTCTTTTGTTCTTCTTTTGGATGGCACTGACAGCCATTTTGCTCTGGTAGCCCCAAGGCTCCAAAATTTCCGGATTGCTTCCGATTTGGATTCTCAAGTTTTGCCTGGGCCCCATTGCGTGTGGAAAGTGGCGATCTGCAGATGTAAAACCACCAGTATATCCAAGGGCCTTTTTGCCAAGGGGACAGATTTGCCCTGCACGCCAAGCTTCCTCGAAACCCCAGACATTCCTCTGTAGCAGGAAAGTGGAGGGAGGTAAAATGGGAGAGGGAAGTTTTTTGTTTTTCTTTTGGGTGGCAGTGACAGCCGTCTTGGTCTCGTAGTCCGAGGCCTTCCAGATTTTTGGATTGGTTCGATTTTGATTCTCAAGTTTTGCCTGGGTGATGATGTACTGGCAGTTTTTTTAATGCAGAAGAATATCGTTCTTGAGAAAGCAGGTGCACAGTGAGGTCGACTGGTATGACCATAAAGTTGAGTAAACAGGAAAAGGGTTACAGACTTGTTGACTTTTATAGTAGATTTTGGCTAAGATCAAGTGTAATATCCGATCCGTATCTTTTTTGCTTTTTGTTTTTCAAACACTTTCATAGTAGATGAAGGGGCATAGTGGGTTAGGTATCTCTGCTAATGTGAAACAGGGTGTACCATAGCACTGAACTGGGTGTACCTTTGAGCAAAGTGGGCGCTTCTTCCAACTTCCAAGTAATGTCGGGACAACCATGAACTGTTGAGATACAGACCTGAGTTACAGACCTGAGTTTGAGTTCAGATGGACTCAGATGAGTTGGAAAACTCTGCATTTACCTGGGAAAACTCTGCATTTACCTGGGATAACTCTGCATTTACCTGGGATTTTGAGCAAAATGGGTGCGACTTCCAACATCCAAGTGATTTCGACGATGGGGGTACCCACCACCATCGCGTGTGGAAAGTGGTGGCGATCTGCAGCTGCAGCTGTTGATTCAGGAGAGGTTTGTTTTCCCCCTTTAACTAGACTATATTCTTCTCTCAATTTCTTTCACCTTCCTTTCAGTACCTGCCTACCGCTACTCCTAAGGAGAGTTATCGACGGAAAAAAAAAAGTCTGGCATTCCTTGTCGAGAAGACAGGTGCACGGCGAGGCTGCTTTGCCAGCAAACAGGAAGTGTCATACTGGGAGGAAAAAGAACGGACACAGTGGGTTTACTCTGTGATGCAGCGTGAAGGATCATTCTCATCGGATCTCGAGGACTGGGTATGGTGGCGTAGGCCAGAAATATCTCTGTAGCAGGAAAGCGTATAGTACAGTTAGTAGGTGAATTGGCACGGTAGTAGGGGTATCTTCTAATCTGAAGCAGGGTTTACTGAACTTCGCTCTGTTAAACCGCCAGTACAAGGGGCCCCAGCCAACTTAAAAAAACTCATGGCTGACCACTTTCATTCCCTCAAGTCCCAAACCAGGTCCCTTCGTCTGTCCGCTATTCGGAATGGCAGTTCTCATTCTCCAGCACATTCTTTCTTCTTTTTTTTTTTTTCCCCCGAGCATATATATGTTGAGACACTGCCTCGTTGCACGGGAAGCCCAAGAAAGGTGACAGAAAAGTGGGAAAAGGAAAACGTGAAGTTGGTGAGTGCAGAACCCCGCAGTGCCCACACCTAAAAACAGAAAAGAAAAGAAAAATTGTGATGATTATATGACAAAGAATTTGATCTGCTATATTGAGATAATACGTAGCAATCCTATTTGCGGCAAATAGTGCATCAAATCCATTGTCAGTAATTATTATGTTTATTATTATATTATAATATGCATTTTCGGCAAGAAATCTGTGGTGGTGGTTTTTTTTTGGGGGGTCTGGCTGTTGGGTTGAGGGTGTTTTGAACCAAGAGTCTGTGAGGGTTGACGTGGGTGTGGGGTTGACGGCAGTGGCTGTTGGGTCGAGTGCGGTGCGGCTGTTGGGTTAGGGTGATGTGAGCCAAAAGTCTGTGAGGCTTGCGGGTGGTGTCCGGTTGACACATCTGTAGCTGTTGGGTTGAGGGTGTTGTGAACCAAGAGTCTGTGAGGGTTTTGAGGGCACTGTCGGGTTGACAGTGTTTGTAGCTGTTGGGTCGAGGGGCGGTGTGATGGGTGGTAGTCCATTTTCTAGGTCACCATCAAGGCGGACTGTGTTTTGAAGGGTGTCTGAGGGATTTCTTCTGCATTTTAGGGCTTTCTGATCTTTTCTGCAAATGCTTCTTTCCACAGCTTGAGCAGTTTTTTCAAGAACTACCCCCTTGTGCTTTCTTTTTGGACCGTGGTGGGTGTATTTGGATGGAGGCTTTCATGAACTCTCATTTAGTCATATGCTCGGGAAGGAACTTGTCATATTCTGCTAGGTGTTTTATAGATTGGTATTTCTCAAAGCACCAGTAGGTTTCCCAGCCATTGCTCTCCATGCAGCCACAAAGTCCAGGTTGTCAGATGCTGGAGCAAAATGGCTGGTGGCACCCACCAAAAGGAGGCCCACGGCGATGCACGACACGCAGGGCCTGAACATCATTTATTGCAAACGACATGAGCTGTACCACATCTGCTTAGTGACTGAACCGCAATTACCGTCTGTGCAGAGGTTGATCTGCAAATACCGGAGCAGCAGGGATTGAGCTACAAATACTGAGGCAGCGCGAACTGAACTGCAAACACCGTTACGGCGGAAACCGAACTTCAAATCCAATCATTAGGACTGAACTGCAACTCCCCAAACAGTGGAAATGAACTGCCAAGTCCAATCATCAGGGACTGATCCGAAAGTACAGGATCGCACTGCAATAGCCAGATCGTACGCAGCAACCAGGATTGTACCGCAATAACCTGGATCATACCATAACAACCAGGTGACCGACTTTAATATGTTGATATTGTCTGCACTCTTACCACACTGAGTCTCCTAGCAGGGTAACTTTACCACTTTTCATCCAATCAGCACAAGTCCAGGGGCTGAACTGGAAATCACCATCTGCGCAGGGATCGATCCACAGATCACCACCGTCTGCGCAGGAATTTATTGGAAACGACATGAGCTCTACCACATCTGCACAGGGACTGAACTGCAATTACCGCCTGTGCAGGGGTTGATCTGCAAATGCCGAAGCAGCAGGGAGCAAGCTGCAAATACCGAGGCAGCACGAAGCAAACTGCAAATACCGTCACGGCGGAGAGCGGACTGCAAGTCCAATCATTAGGACTGAACTGCAACTTCCCAATCAGTGGAAATGAACTGCAAGTCCAATCGTCAGGTACTAATCCGAAAAGTCCAGGATAAGGCTGCAATAGTCGTGATCGTACCGTAGTAACCAGGATCGTACCGCAATAACAAGGATCATACCATAATAACCAGGTGCCCGACTTTAATATGCTGAGATTGTCTGCACTCTTAACACACGCAGTCTGCTGGCAGGGTAACTTTCACGTCTTTCATCCAATCAGCATAAGTCCAGACTTAGTCCTGTGCGATCTGCTTGACGGCTGGGATATGCACCTGGCGAATGGCGTGCACTCGAGCAGTGGTAGGGCTGGATGATGCTTGGCAGGCTCACGCTTACGCAGCGGCCGCATGGGGTCAAGCCAAGGAGCATGTGCCCGAGTGAACAGGAAAGATGTGACAACGCACACTTTCTCAATGGCTGGATTGGGTGTGTTCATCACGTAGACTGAGAATGTGCAGCGACAATGCCGCTCGTATCAGGCGTGTGCACGGCTGTCGCTGATTGGATCCGGATCATGAACTGTCCCTGCTAAGCTTAATTCAGGAGGAGCATGACTCCTACGGGCATAATCTAAAGGGAGCCGGGGGCGCAGTTCCCACAAGCCCAAGCGGTGTCGCGTGTCCAGCTTGGCTCTCGTTCGAACATCGTTATCTCGGGCACAGTGTTTAGGAAACCCGGGGAGGAAGACGCTGTCCATCGCTCAAGCCTGAGGCAGTGGCGACTATCACCTGCCGTGCCCGCTTCAGAGGTCCTCAGCGGCGTGGCAGAGATTGGGGGTTGATTGGCCTGTCACACGACCGACTAGAGACTGAACTTGATGACCCTCTCAGTAAACTGAAATGATTGAAAAATAGAATAGAATAAAATAAATAGTTCAGGCCTGAAGACTGGAGATCTGGACCGAGCCTGAGTCAAAGGTCGTGCCTCCAAGATCCCGGAAACGCAGGGGCAAAACCGAAATTTACTTCATGCGAAAATAAACTGAAAAAGCAGCCAACAGACGAGCACCGAAATAAACTATCCTATTTATTATTAACTTATTATTATTATTCATTTATTATTATTATTATTATTATTCATTTATTTTTATTATTATTTTATTTTAATTATTTATTCACACAAGGTGGGACACAGGCAAAACCAGGGCACAACCCTAAGGGCATTTCCACAATTCATATGTTGATAGTGCCCGCCGCCAGTTGCACGATTCAAGCAGGCAGTCCTCAGGTCCAATCACACCGTTCATGACACAATGGCTGGCCCAATTTAGCCAATAGGGAAAGCTATGCGCACATTGCTTTTCAGGGGTCGCACATTCACAGAAATATTAACTGTACTCAATCACCAATCTAGGAAGTCTTCAGTGCATGTTCTTAAGCTGATTTGGTTGATGAGGCCCTGCTAGTCTCTAATGTGATCACCCTGTTGAGTTTGTTGAGGACTGAGTTAGCTGAATCCGCTGATTTTGCAGAATCCGGAGTCTAGTTAATCTGCCTAGCTGGTTAAACCAGTGCTTGAGGTTGCTTAGTTTAAGCTCGGACTGGCCTAAGTATTGATTACCCTCTCTTCTTCCTCATTTACGGTTCAACGTTCATCATTTCCCATCTGTCCTTCCACCTTGCTCCTCCTCCATCCTTCTCTTACTTCCGTTCTTGTTGCCAGGCAATCTGCACATCAGCCCCCCGTTGGGTTTCGATTGTTTTCAATTAAATAATAAATAAATAAATAATAAATAAATATTTAGTCAAGCATCTAGTGCAGGGAGCTGGTTGGATCCATTCACTGAGCTAGTACAGCGGCTCGAAGGGCGTATGTGTGTATGTTCCACGGGAAGACTTCTGCGTTTAGTACATGGGACGAGTGCTCCGCAGCCCCGCTCGATCAGTTACTAATTGAGAAAATGAGGATGAACCTTCACCAATAAGATGGACAGATACATCAATGTATTTTTTTACTTGTGTGTGCGAATGAGTGCTTGCACATTAATCCACCAGATGAGGAAATGACACTTCGGTGCATTATGAGAATAAATCTGCAGCAAGAACGTGGAAAGATACACAGCCCAAAACTGACTTCTAAGTTCTTACCCCACGCCAACTGAGCCTTGCATTTGAGGGTAAGCAGTAACGATCAGACTCAGGTAAGCTGTTTCCCTCGAATAGAGCCCGGGGTCATTAAAACTTGTATTTGGACCGACTCTCAGCCCAACAATGCAACCAACCGTGCTTTGTATTCGGATACAGATCAGAATAAAGAGGGCCAGTGACTTGTTCGGCATACCCTCTTTCGTGCTTGCTCACTCACCCACTCAATAATTCACTCTCTTGTTTTCCCCTCTCTCTCTCTCTCTCTCTCTCTCTCTCTCTCTCTCTCTCTCTCTCTCTCTCTCTCTGTGTGTGTGTGTGTGTGTGTGTGTGTGTGTGGCACAGACGCTCGATCTTACACGTGTTCACCCTCTCTCTCTCCTCTATCTATCCCGTTCTCATAGACACCCCCCTTTATGGATGTGCAGACTTCAACCTCTTCTGCTGCTCTACTGAGATCGCCCTGGCTCTGATTGGAATGAACCTGGCCACACTCAGGGCCAGGTGAATTATATATTTTCTGTAACTAAGGAAACAGGGCCGCACACCTCTCCTCACTCGAATCTCCATCTGTCGCTCGCACTCGCACAAGCTTCCCCAGCCTCGTTCCTTTCTCTTTCTTGGTTCTCTTTCTCTCACTTACTTCCTCCCTCTCTCACGCGTCCACGCCCTCTCACAAAAAACTGCAAGTACGGTCACTCCCCTTTTCCCATACACACGAAAGTAGCCTTGATTGGCCTTCCTCCCCGTTCATCTCCCTGGGAGGTAGTCACGTTGGCGCGTAGATACCAGTGTGAGATGTGGAATGCCAACGAGTCAGGCGTGTACCTTGCATGACAGATTGGCATGACAATGCTCATTCCCCCTTTCTCATTCTCTCTTCTCACTCCCTCTCTCCTTCACTTACTCTATGCATCTCGTCCTCATACACTCCTGCGCTCTGTCAGTCTCTCACACACTCACTCGCTCTCCCTGCGTTATCACCTTCTCAGTGCTCATGGATTCAAAGTTGCTCAAAATTCAGACGCACCTGGTCGGTTTTTGGGTCAGATTAAGTGTAAGCTTGCATGACAGCAAATCAGCGAACAACATGCAAGGGAACCAGTATCTCAAGCTCACACGCAAGAACAGTCGTCGGCTGATCAGTCTTGTGAGCTGCAGACTTCTGGTCCGCTGCCTCGTGAGCCCTGGACATCTCGTACATGGTCTCAATGCCTAGCTCCAAATGATCCACCATAGCCAATGCCGCTGCAACCAAGAGCCCATTTGACCGCTGGAGCTCGTATAGAAGTTCGGACAGGAATGAAATTGGAAAATGGAAAAAACTCGCCCCTTTCCATGAACGGGGCCGGCCAGTGGACGGTGATCGGCCGGTCATAGGCTCCTGTTCATGGGCTCTTCGGGGCCAAGGGGAACCCCTGGTGCCGGTTGGGGACAGGAATGGGGTGCTGCGGGGGGCACCTAAAATAATAGAAAATTGATCCCCCTTCACCCGGGTCATAGGGGTTCAAATAAATTTCATTGGGTTGGCGATGAGGATTAGGTGCAGGGAACCACCCACCCMCCCACCCATGGTGAAAAAAAAATAAAAAATCATGGGGGTCGGAAAGAACCCCGACAATGACCTTATGCCCCAACCTTGCCCATCCCCTCAATTACCCAACTACCCCCTTACTACTGCCACCCAGAAAACCTCGAGCACCCCCCATACCCTCCGCTAATGCCCCAACACCCCCCATTACCCCACACGCTCAAGGAACCCCAAATACCCCAAATACCCCCCATACCCAGCAAGTACACCCCACTAACCGATGAACAACACCCATACCGCCCACATGCCCCCCACATACCCCCCACTAACCCCCAAAGACTCCTCGTTACCCCACATGGCCGACACACCCCAAACACCCCAAATACCTCCCATAGCCACCAACTTCACCCAGTACCCCCGCTACCCGATGAACACCTCTCGTACCGCCCACATACCCCCCACTAAACCCCGCACACCCTCCACACCCCCTCATACCCCCCACATATCCCTCGCATACCCCGCCCGACCCCCACCAGCAACGACAGTGAAGACCAACCCCAAAAACGATAGAGGCACCATACCCGCACAACAAAAGGGCAGTTTAAACAAGTCGATAGAGAAGTGAGAGAACACAGCGCAAACGATTCAACACAACAAGTGGTGCAAATGACCCCGAAAAACAGTCGCAAGAGCTCTATACAATAAAGACAACTGGCGGCGTATCTGCCGCAAATGAGACATGGCAGTATGCTCATCTCAACCAAAATAAAACGTACAGTAATGTTTTGCGAGCGATGTAGAGAAATAAAAAGGACAAACGTGACAAAAAAAGAAATTAGAAAATAACAAAGTAATGAAGTGATGAAGTAATAAAACGCATCCTATGCTACTATCACTCTCAGCAGCAATAAACTACAAGGGACGCACAACAAGGAAAAGGAAAACCTGTTAAAAAAACAACAAAGGTAAAAAAGAAAGTCAATCATCCTACAAAAGAACGGCCCCTATCAACACCACAGCGTTGAGCCTGTCCTCATCATCGTCATCATCGTCGATGGTGTCCCCTCGCCGCGGCAGACCTGTCCTTTGCAGCACCGCCGTGGGCCTCTGCCCAGCGTCATCCGAAGGCTGTGCGGGTGCTGCCTTGTGCTCACAATGTCCTGTTGCTGCCATCCTTTCCGCCTCCTCGCGCTGTCTTTCCCTCTTTGCATCCTGTGCTGGAAACCCTCCAAAAATGCATGTTGGAGACCTATAGGTTTTCACACCCTTGGGCATGGGCACGCCATCGGTGGCTGAATCCTGCGTACCTTCCCCAGTGGCTCGCCAAAAGCCAACCCCAGTTGCAGCCGCTAGCCGTGGATCCTCCTCGAGTATCCTGCTGGCCGTCATCAAACAAGGTCCACGACTGCTTTTCAATGAACCAGGATGAAGACCCTCCTCCAACAATGTCTCGGGAAGTCGGCCAGTGGTCGCCGGTCGCAACTCGTGTGCCCGATCCTCCTCTCTCTGTGGTCCCAACACCTGGCCGTGCACCGACTAGCGGTCGTGAGGGGGGTGCACCCGTCGTCGTGCCCTGTCCTTGCGCACTACCTGAAGACCCAACACCCAGATGCTCCAACTGTCTCCCTTCCGTACCCATCTTCCAGCGTCCACAAACATGTTTGTCAACCTCCCACCCCATGACCTTGAAAGCCTAGGCATAGAATCCTTGAGCTTGCGGGTGACCCTACTAATGCCGTTCCATGAAATGGCCTTCCCTTTCCTCTTCGATAGAGGGGAAGGAGAACACTCCACGATGAATCTGCTTTTATGGCATGCTTTGTTTCCTCTACTGTTGCCAGTTGAAAGTAAGCCATATGCCCCTAGTGTGAAGTTCGGTCACACACTTTGAGAACTATAGGTGGCCTAGACCCCTTCCCCACTGGTGAAGTACCCACTGCCTAGTGCTTTTCTGTTACTAGGTCTCTTTCAAGTTAGGCAGGTACTACGGGTCCTCCGACTTCCAATAAAAAAATCATTCGACTACATCTCGTCGGTATCATCTATAGGTTGTAGCACTTCAAGATGTCGTTTAGTCGTTTGTCCCCTATACGATAGGTGATCCCATATCTTCAGTAATCTGTAAGACTACAAAATACTTCCGTTATAAACTTGTGCATAGTAACCGACAAACTTAGGCAAAATAAAAGATTTGTGTGACTAAATTTCCAACCCTGGCGTCGCTGGCGAGCCACAGAAGATGTTTTTTCAACAAATAAGCATTTATAAATGGACCCAGTATTGCATATATCCTAAGTCCCCAATTAAGTGCGGCTTATTAGAGAATCATGTTCCTATCCAACGCATGTATATATCTAGACTACCTCTTTCTCTGATGTCGATCGAGGCGCATTAGCGAAATTTCCTAGTTTCGAAATGGGATATTATATTATGAAAGCGTTAGACGCAAGATATACTTCTATCGGCTAGTGCTTTAGGTCCAATCACAAAGTTGTCCGGATTGCGAACATAGTTGTCCTTCTGAAATGATTTTGGCGAGCCGAGGAACGTCAGGGTCGAAGGCGCGTCTTGAAGGTTGCTCTTCGATCGCCGCTGGATCTTCGTAGTGAACCTCTTACTCCTTAACTTATGGGGTTTAGGGTTTAGGGTTTAGGGTTGACTCGGTCACACTCTAACATGTCAACTGCTCGAACAGGTCGGCCATCTCCATTGACTTCCCACTAACCCTTAAGATGCCCTCTGATATCAAAGGATTGGCTGGCACGTAAGCAGGATCAGGCACCTCTCTCCATCACTGACGCGAGTATCATCCTCTCCTGTCGGCCTTTACCTTGTAGGAGCAACGCCAGAGATGGTCGGCGCAGGTGTGATCTACGTGCCCGTGACAACTACCCCACCTCCCCCAGCCACTCCCTCGGTGGGAGCAACGCCACTCTCTACCTCTATTTGTCCGACTACACCCTCCTCAGCAACATGGTCCATCGTTTGTACCAAATCATCGCATCCGCCGTCTCGCGGTCTCCCTGTGCCTCGTCACCCTTGTGGACCAGCGACTTTGTCATTGCGCATATCTGCAGTGTCATCGAATGTCCTCATCTAGTATCGCCTGCGTGTACGTCGCTAGCACCCTCATCAGCCCCACCTATGTGGTCGCTATACGGAGTAACTCCATCAAATGCAAGCGAGCCACCGACGGTCGTCCTCAACGCATGTCGGTCATTCTCGCCCTTGTCGTCGTCTCTACGAGGAGTTTTGTCAATGTCACACATATCCTGCAATCCATTCCCCGTGTCATTGCCGTATCCATCGCCCTCCTCGCATGCTTCTCTAGTCGCGTCGTCCGCTCCACCGTCGTGTCCGTCCGCAGTAGTGGCCTGTGAACACGTCACTGCTAATCTCACGGCTATCACCTCCACAGGACACCCCATCTCTCACCCTGACCATGTCCTGCTCTAACTACCCGCATTGTGTCATGGTGCACAAAGCGACTAGCTCTCTGAGCCGCTCCTCCTCAAGTCACTCGACAAGGTCCATCTCATACCGTCTAACATCCTCCGTTTGTGTGGCGGAAGGCTTGCACTCGATGTTGTCGCCTCGCCTATCCTCCTCAGTCTCGGTTGTCGCCCTCGCAGCCTCGGCCAACATCCCTGAACTAGCTCCCCAAAAGACCTGCCCTATCTGATGTGCTGCATCGGTAACGAGTGTGCGATTGCGTACTCCTCCACACCATGCAGAGGAAGTCGGGGGCACCCCCACGTCGAACTCCTCCTCGAATATGCCTGACGGAATCGATCCCTGCAGCATGGGCAAACCGTGCTCCACCTTGCCACCCTCCTTGCCACCCTCCGCGCGAACATGTGGAACCGCGAGACAACCACCGCTTTCCCCATCATGATCCGGTCCATCGCCCCCATCGTTGTCAAATTCTCGATGCTCCGTAGTGGTAGGCCCCTCACCTCCACTAGAACCATCGTCGTCAGAATCCTCTGCGTCACCATCGCCTCAATCGTCCTTGCTCGATGATCGCATAAGCTGTGACCAGTTGCGCACTCTCGCTGCCATGCACTCTGCTCTGGTCAACTCAGCGACGGGGGGCAGTGACTCTGAAGATCACGTGACCTCATTTCACTCTTGTCTGTCTCATCATTCCCGTCGTCTGAGTCGTCATCACCATCGGTGGCTCCTTGCTCCAGCTCGTCCTCCATAAGGTCTGCGACTTGGGGGCCAATGGGTGGGTCGTACTCTATCTCCTCGTCGTACATCTTAATGTGAGCGGCACGACGACCGAACACAGTTGTAAATGCAAGTGGGTGTTGTACCATGGAAGCCCGCCGCATCCTCCGCGCCTGGCATTTGATGTGAGTGGCACGACGACTGAACACAGTTGTTACGGCAAGTGGGTGTTGAACCGTGGAAGCCCGTTGCATCCTCCGCGCCTGGCATCTGATGTCCGCGTCAGATACAAATCCCGACGGCAAAGTCCCCGATGTACGTGGGCCCAGAACGTCAACCAACCCCTCCTCGAAGTTTTCCCACGACAATACGAAGCCCCTCCACCTTTGTCTACACTGAATGAGCTTGAGATTCGATGTGATCTTAACAAGCTAAGTGATTTTCGTGAACTCCAATCTGTAGCGGCGCTTTGTGTGAATACGCTCGTGCACCGCCCAATTCCTCAGTAGGAGAGGCGCAGACCTATATGTACATCAGACGCGTCGCGATCTCACACAACTCAGGTGCACAACCGACATGCAGCACCCACCAATCAGCGATGGTCTGCATCCCGTTAGGCCCCTAGCACAACTCCTCGTCACCATCAACACCCTCCTCCCCCCCACGAGTATCTCGGACCAAAAGAGAGAGAGAGAGAGAGAGAGAGAGAGAGAGAGAGAGAGAGAGAGAGAGAGAGAGAGAGAGAGAGAGAGAGAGAGAGAGAAAAAAAAACGTTTCCTTATATTTCTTGTTTACCAAAAACCTAGTAACGTTTCTGGCTACAACGTGTTGCTAACACTATGACTCTTAGAGTTCCAACAACAACCACTTTCCATCACATTCCTCAATGTCTCAAACACCTTCTTCCTGTGCATCTAATTACACCAAGTAAGTGGAAGTCGAACAGTTACTGAAGCACCTACTTGTATCTCTCCCCCCGCCTGTCGAAGCTCGTCAGAGATCGCCAATGGGTGGCCGTGACCGGACCCGACCGTACCCAGCCGTAACCGGCAGTTTTGGATGGGTACGGGTATGACCCCAAAGGATATACAGTGGTCCGGTTGGGTGTGAATATGTGTGAGAATATGCTGGGTCACTCTGCGTAGATTGACTGAACGCAGAAACCCTTGAACTTTCGGCGATCATGTTTTTCACCTGATTTTTTGTTACTCATGTCAGCATTCTCACTTTTGATATCTCCAGCTGTTTTCACAAACAGCCTTCTTCAACTTACAGAACGTTCCGCTACTGACCCTGAAGATCAATGGCAAACAATAGCACTTCGTGTCCAGAATTGGGCAGGGTGGGAAAGTTTCAGGGGGGCATGGCTGGCTGGGGTGGGAAAGTTTCAGTGGGGCATGGCTGGGTGTTGTCTCGATTCCCTGGCGGGTACGGTTGGGTGGAGGTTTGGCGTGGGTGACCCGAAGCCTGTAGGCCATAAAGCTAGTATAGGTACTAGCCTTCTAGGTAGTAGGTAGTATTAGGGCGAGGCCGCAATGTTAATATAGCCTGGGCCCTTTTCACCGACAATGTGGCAGGTATTGGGGTTCTGTTAGTAAGAAATTTGCCCCCTAGTTCTTATTTTCCTACTATTGTTTTTTTTCACCTAGTGTGGGAGTACGCCCTTGAAAAATGGGCAAAAGATGCTATGTAGAGTCACAAACCAACGGGCCTCACTCCACTACTCACCAAATGTGTAAAATGGGAACTTCTGGTACATCATGGGAAGATTCACCGCCTTTTTTTTTCGGTCTTTTGTGCATGTGGTGAGCAGTGGAGCGGGGCTGGGCCTTTTGGGGGGAAGCAATCAATGCCTCTCTCTTGGGGTTGTGCACTTTTTTCAGTAGAGCATGTGAGAGGAAGTCAATCCTTCTCTTTTTGGGGCAAGCAATCAATACCTATCTCGGGGTTATGCAGATTTTTTAGTCAAAGAATTGGAATGTCGTAACTTGTAATGCAAGCCTTGGGCACATAACCTTTAGGAAAAAAAAGTTCGCTGACCCACCTTTGCAACCCGTTTAAATGCTTGATATGCTTGTCGTTTTCTCAATGTACCTTCAAGCTTTTGAATGTCTTATCGAATTAGGACAGAATAAGGGAGCAAGAATGCGACGGATAACTGGATCCGGTTGTTTCGCAAGTGCGCGACCAGCAACAACATAGACAGAGGCCGAGTCTGTGCATATGGCATTGATCTTCTTCACGCCAAAGTGCTCGAAGACCTTCCACCACCGCAACAACACATTTGCGATCTGAACATCTATCCCCTCCCTCTCCATAGTCCTATACAAAAATGTGCCCGACGGTCCGGTTGCCAGGAAGTTAACTATGGGTTCGGAGTTCAACAACTTTCTCTCATCCGTGAGGATGGTAGCCCAGTGCACTACATCCAAGCACGCATCCCACGTAGCTTATCAGCTACGTTGTCGAGCGCATCGGTTTTCGTCTTGCAAAAGGCGAGAGTCCTCCCAACCATGTCACGAAAGAGTTAAACAAAACAAAATCAGAGACAACTTGAGGATGGTGAGAAGGTAATCTTCCGAACCGCCGAGACGGATGTGGTTGCATCGCCCCTTCGTCGCTCTAGCCAGGTGCGTCAGCCGTACTTCCCCCGATCCCTTATGATAGGATAGGTTTCACTAGGTACAACTTACCGTCCCTAAGGGGTTGTCACCATCCTAAGGGTATCCCTACCGAGCTACCGACCCATGTGCGGAAGCTTTTAAATACAATTGCAGAGGTAGGTTAACCGAGGGTGTTGTTCGTTTCGCTGTAGCATAGGTATGCATGGGTAAAACGCCATATTAACTCGACGTCACTCGTTTCTCGGGGCGCTGATCTCCAAAGCACGAAGCGTACGCCGGTTGAGTATGACAGTGTCAGTCAAACGTGGGACCCACAAGTGATCTTATTTCCTGCACACATAGTATTAAAAAAAAAATAAACAACAACGAAATACAATCCAATATATAGGCATACCAACGAATATATAGGCAATCCAACGAAAAAATATAAGCATACCAAACGATGGTTTCTCAAACCGTCTCATACTTCTAAGTTATTGGCCAAGAAACATCGCCACAAGAAAAACAAATATTCCATAAAGCAACCAATACATTTAGCCAGCTCGACATGACGAATAATATTAATGCAATGTCAGACGGATCCATCTTATTAGTTTAACTTAATAAGATGGTTTTCCAAAGTTATCCTTCTCACCCCAGTCATAGTCGAAATACTCAAGTTGCGCCTCTTGCATTAGAAGGGTACCGCAAGAGGAAATAATGTCAACGGGACCTAACGTACGGGTAAAACCCTCAACATGCCTTAATGACCTTACTATAGTTCTCCTAATTGAAACATACAAACATAACTCATATATCATATCTATGAGTCGTGCCAAAGACAGTTCAATTGGAATCCTAACATAATTAGAATGTTTCTCTTTGCGCAACTCCATGATGTGGTCTCACGATGCGGGTTAACTAATCAGCAACGTACGACGATTAACTTGAAGGTGTTCTTCATATTTCTTTATTTACTCTCAGTTTTAATTGCATTACCTTTGCGCAACGCCTAAAACGGTAGAACTAACGGCTTACCACGTGGGAGGGATGTCCCTACCGCTCCCAAGTCGAAACGGTTTCTCGTTCACCCACATCTAAAAGTCTACCTTTCTTTTGTTCGTGGCAGACTCCTGCATTGATCAACACGAGCGCTCAACATTCTTGTGTGTGCACGGTAATTACCCCTCTATGCCAATACATGATAGAGAGATCCTCGGGGCAATCCGAATACTATCCATCTGGTAGTCCTAACTACATAATTTTTTATTTTTATTTTTTTTAATGATTATCTTGTGAAGCCAAATTATAAAGGTTTCCTCTAGGGAACAGCAGGACGTGCAACCCCTCTATGGGTCAGATGAAATCTCCAGATTTCGTGCTTAACCGCGATACAACTGACGTCCATTGTGGGTCTGAGACTCCAACCGATGAAGGCGTGCGAGCTCGATGTCGTCGAAAATCATTGTTTTGACACGAGCACCTTGCATGACCCGACCGTCCGATTATCATATAGCGCAACCATCTAAGAGGCTAGCCACCACATTATGACACGAAATGGTTTGCTCATCCCAAACAGGTTTCGTGTCACAGTGTCCTGGATCTGAACGACGCTAAAGAAGTTGTCGGACAAGGTAATCTTAATGCTGACAATGACTTGAGAGAGACATTGGAGATTACTTACATGATGAAAGTATAGAGTATAGTCATAAAACTCTCTAAAAAATCGAGCCAGATCAACTCGAATGTCCAAGGGCGAGCCTGGAAAGAATCCCTGACCATTCTGAAGCATATCGATGAAGCCAACCCATGGAGTCGATCTACCGTCTCGAACCATCAAAAGTCGCTCCGCTCCCTCGATCAATCTAGCATCAAGCGTACCGCGAACAAGAAGATGTCTCGAAATGGTAAGATCATGTCGACCGCCTTCCATATGTCCACAAGAGAAAACACATTAAGCATTGATCTGCTCATAGATTCGACACTCCTCGTTCTCGAATTGTTCGGTTGAAAAAAACATCTCTCCTGAATCACTGAAACCTGTTATCGCGAGTTTGGTGATAATGATGGATAATATTGAATGGACCATGCCACTCGTTGAAACGTAGGAGCATTAATATGAAAAAACACTTCAATTCAGAAGTCTCCCTCGCATACGGAGAACACTCGTCGATGTGCAAAATCAAGAGGTGAGGCACCCCGCTTCTTCGTGACGCAAACCCGTATCGAATGATGTGTCTCGCGAAGTCGGTGCAGAAAAGGCAAATGAGCGATGGGTTCCTCAAGCTCCCTTACCAAAATTGCGATTTATCCCTTGCAGGGAAAACAATAGACAGATCATAAATCAATCGTCCGGCTCACACCATGCTGACCCCCTTGCTCTTAAGATTCCAACATCCATTCACTTGCTTCCTCGCGCGTTTACAAAAATATCGCCACCACAAAAGTGTTTGACATCTGAAAAAGACTCAGTAACCTGATTTGTAAACGTTTAACTCGTCTCAAAGTGTGAGCACTCGAGACCGGTTCATACTAGCTTTACAGAAAGTAGTCATTAAGCGATCATTTCAAAGTAGCTTTGCGGAAAGTAGTCATTAAACGACCAACATCAGCCCGCTATGTCTTAGCTAAACAATTGGAGTCAATCCAACCATATTA